GATGGGATAGGGGATGGGATAGGATGGGATAGGATAGGATAGGATAGGATGGGATAGGATGGGATAGATAGGATAGGATCGGATGGGATAGGATGGGGGGATAGGAGGATGATGGGATAGGATGGGATGGGATAGGATCGGATGGGATAGGATGGGATAGGGATGAGATAGGATAGGATGGGATAGATGGAGAAGGATTAGGATGGGGATAGGATGGGATAGGATATGGATGGATGGGATAGGATAGAATAGAATAGGATAGGATGGGATAGGATAGGATAGGAAAGGAATAGGATAGATAGAAAAGCAGGAATCAACAGCTTGTATCAGGAGCTTCTCACACAGATATATAGTTGTGTAATACACTAATTGAACAGAACACTAGATGTGGAAGACTTTCAGTCACTCTCTCCAACGGCAGATGGCAGTCATTAGACACTTTTGGTATTTGTTATGTTCCTTCCTTACACCAGATGGCACTAAAATTCAAAGCAATCCTGTCCTGAGAAAATTCAAGGTTTGCTAAACTCTCTTTCAGGAAATTCTAGTTCTGTTGCCTGTTGTGCTAATAAAGTGTATCTAATTCAGCATTCTGGTATAAACTTCGTCCTGGGGGGGTCAGACCTACCTTCTGGGCCATAGACAGTGACATAAACCAAACTGTCCTCCTCCCACGATATCCAATTCTTTTGAAAAAAAAAAAAAAAAAGTATATTGGGAATGAAGGTATCAACTCTGCATGGAAGGTTATGGAAGATCTTTCCTGGTATGGAGGGTCTGCCCCTTTATGAAGAGTCTGCTTCTGGAGGGAGGGTCTTCTTTGGGGTGGCGATTATGCTTTAGTATGGAGCTTTTTTTTATATGTATGGGGGTTCTATTTCAGCATGAAGGTTATGTCTCATTGCTGAGGGTCTGTCTCTGGATGGGGGGATCAGTCTTCAATGGGATGGTGGTTCTACTTTTGGATGGAGGTCCTGTTGTGTTGAAGGTCTGTCTGTGAAAAGGGGGGGGGGGCTGCTTCAGTATAGAGAACATTCCTTTATATTGGAAAAAAGTATGCTTCTGAGTAGAGTGTCTTCACTGGGATGGAGCTTCTGGCTCTGCATGGAGGGCCTGCCCTTTTACGGGGATTATACTCAGGATGGAGGAACTGGCTCTGTATGAAGGGTCTGCCACTCTATGGAGGATTATAATAGGGATGGACTGACTATAGTGAGTCTGACTTTGGGTTGAAGGTCTGTCTGTGGATGGAGGGTCTGTCTCATTATTGAGGGTCTGTCTCTAGATGGGGGTGTTTGTCTCGATATACAGTAGAAGGTCTGCTTCCTTATGGGGAATTATGCTGGGGATGGGGGAACTGGCTTTGTATGGAAGACCTGTCTCTTTATGGAGGGTCTGTCTCTAGATGGGGGATCTGTCTTGGTATTGAGGGTCTGCTTTTTAATGAGAGGGACAGAGGGTCATCATTGGTATGGTGGTTCTACTTCAGGATGGAGGTCCTGTCTCTGTGTGGAGGATCTGTCTCTCTCTATGAAGGATTATGATAGGAATGGAAGACTGACTATGGTGAGTCTGACTTTGTATTGAAGATCTTTCTGTGGCTGGAGGGTCTCTCTTAGTATGGAGGGTCTGCTTTTTTATGGGCAGTCTGCTTCTGGGTGGAGGGTCTTTATTCAGATGGAGTTCCTGCTTGGGATGGAGGTCCTGTTTCTGTATGGAGGGTTTGCCTCTCTATGGAAGATTATAACCAGGGCAGAGGGACTGACTGTGTATGAAGGCTCTATCTTGGGAGTGAGGTTCTGCCTCCGTTTGTAGGATCTGTGTCTAGTGTGCAATACTTGAGGTGGAGGGTCAGCTTCGGGATGGTTCCTAGGCCCCATCCACTGGTTTGTAACTTGCAGACATAGTGGGATCTGCACACGTGGGTATTTTAGTGAACCCAACATTTTCAGTGTGACCAAAGTAATAACAAAGGCTCTATCTGATGACTGGAAGAGTATTTAGTTTGCAATTTTATTTGCCAAGAAGCACAGCAGTAATTTTGCAGCAAGACATAAACACTACAACCAGGTAATAAGACGTGAATCAAAATAAAATGGCAACACAAACAAAATCTTAAAGGTAGTATCATGTTTATTTGAAAAAAAATTATAACTGAAAAGGCAGACATTGGCTGCTTTAGAACATGAAACCTATATATTGTATAGGAGGGTCTTTGTCTTTATGGGGGAGTCTGTCTCAGTATTGAAAGGGTCTGCCTGTTTATGGAGGTCTGTCTCTGTATGGAGGCTCTGTCTAGTTATACAACACAGGTGTCAAACACAAGGCCAAATCTGTCCCTCCAGGCCATTTCATGTGGCCCTTGCACTTTTCCTTGTCTCCGCCCCCCACCTAGTCTCATCAGTCAGCAGCAGAGAGGAGAATAGAAGTCCTCTGCCAAATCCTGCACCTCTCATTGCAGCAGCAGCACCCCCTCATCTCTGCCTCCCCTGGTCTCAGCATTCAGCACACTCTAGTAACTGACTCCACTCCTCCTCTGGTCTCCTCCAGACCCTGCATTTTCTGATTTCCAACTGTGCCCCCAAAAGGGGGTGCACGATGATGTTAGGGAGGGTGTGGGATTCTTGACACCTGATGTATTGGGGGGTGGGGTGCTCTGGACATCTACTCTTACAGATACAACCAGCCCTTTGAAGGCAACCATAATGCTGATATGGCCCACGGTGAAATGGAGTTTGACACCCCTAGTATACAGGGTCTGTCTCTGGATTGAAGGGTTAGTATCTGTGTGGAACATTTATCATGGTATGAAAAGTTGGCCCCTTTATGCAGAGTCTGCTTCTGGATGGAGGATGTTCATTGGGATGGTGGTTCGTCTTCAGTCTGGGGGGGGGGGGGGTGTCTCGGTATAGAGGGTCTGCCCCTTTGTGAAGAATATGCTTCTGGATGGAGGGTCTTCTTTGGTGGTGATTCTGCTTCCATATGGCGGTCCTTGCACTGAGTGAAGTTTTTCTGTATGTATGTATGGGATTCAATCTCAGCATGGAGGGTTTGTCTCATTATTCAGGGTCTGTCTCTGGATGGGGGTTTCTGTCTCGGTATGGAAGGTTTTCTTCTTCATGGAGAATTATGATGGGGATGGGGGAACTGATTCAGTGTCTGTATGGAGGATCTGCCTTAGTGTAGAAAGTCTGTCTCTGGATGGAGGGGGTCTGTCCTGGTATGGAGGGTCTACCCCTTTATGAAGAGTCTTCTTCTGGATAGAAGGACATTTTTGGGGTGGTGATTCTGTTTCTGTATGGAGTGTTTCTATATGTATGGGGGGTTCCAACTCAGCATGGAGGGTCTGTTTCAGTATTGAAGGTCTGTCTCTGGATAGGGGAGTCTGGCCTAATATGGAAGATCTGCCCCTTTATGAAGAGTTTTCTTCTGGATGGAGGGTCTTCTCTGGAGTATGATTCTGTTTCCATATGGTGGTTATTTCTCTGTATGGAGTGTTTCTATTTGTATGGGGTTCAATATCAGCATGGAGGATCTGTCTCAGTTTTGTGGGTCTGTCTCTGGATGGGGGTGTCTGTCTCAGTATGGAAGGTCTGCTTCTTTATGGATTATGCTTGGGATGGGGAACTGGCTCTGTATGGAGGATCTGTCTTGGTATGTAGGGGATGTCTCTGGATAAGGAAGGCTGTCTTGGGATGGAGGGTCTGCATTTTAATAAGGAGTCTGCTTCTGGAGGGTCTTCTTTGGGTGATTTGGGATAGAGGTCCTGTCTCTGTATAGAGGGACTGCCTCTCTATGGAGGATTATACTGGGGATGAAGGAACTGACCCTGTATGGACAGTCTGTCAGTGGATGGGATGGTCTGTCTCAGTATGGAGGGTCTGCCTTTTTATTGGGAGTCTGCTTCTTCTGGATGGAAGGTCTTCTCTGGGGTGGTGATTCTGCTTCAGTATGGAGTTCCTGTCTCTGTATGGAGTGTTTCTATATGCATGGGGGTTCCTTCTCAGCATGGACTGTCTATCTCAGTATTGAAGGTCCGTCTCTGGATGGGGGTGTCTGTCCCAGTATGGAGGGTCTACTTCTTATGAAAGAATATGCTAAGAATAAAGGGATAGGCTCTGTATGGAGGTTCTATTTTGGTAAACAGGGTCTGTCTCTGGATGGGAAGGTCTCCCTCAGTATAGAGAGTCTGCATTTTAATGGAGAGTCTGCTTCTGGATAGACAGTATTTGTATGGAGAGTCTGTCGCTCTATGGGGGATTCTGCTCAGGATGGAAGGACTGGCTCTGTATGGAGGATATGCCCCTCTATAGGGGATTATGCTCAGGATGGAGGGACTGGCTCCGTAGGAAGGATCTATCTCAGGATTGAGGTTCTGCCTCTCTGGGTAGGAGGCATCAGCTTTAGGATGGTTCCCAGACAATAACCAGCTTGAGGGAGGCCCCAGCCACTAGTTTTCAGCTTGCAGATATAGTGAGGTCTACACAAAAAAAGCAAGACGCCTAGGTATAGGAGTGTGCAATGCTGGGGTAAGGATAACATTGTACGGTTACACGCATTGGCCTCTAATAGTAACCCATGTCTACACTTGCAGTACAAAATAAAAAACACAAAATACTAAGAATACATGCAGCCTTCACCCTAACCCATGTTATTATTATTTTGTATTTGTATATTTTATTTATGTAAAATCATATGTGATTTAGAGTAGTATATCAATTACAGGTATTAAATCGTAAGCAGTTGTAATATTTTCACATCATTTTCTTTTCACAGGCTAAAATACTTCTATTGGTAAGATCTCTGTGGCGGGTTCCCGGGTCTGCGCACTTGCTGTGCCCATTAATATATGAATTTCCTCATTCTTACGCAGGTTGCAGTACATTGAAGCTATAACATCAGAATATAGAATTGATTCCAGTAGCTATTGCATTTGGAGCGTGCACAAATCTCTAGCAAGCAGGAATGGCCTAAAACACATGGGATGGTTGGAGTGCCCATTATTCGACCGCTTGCTCATTTGGGGTCCCAACATTACTGACCAGGAAGCAGGAATAATCCAGGTCCTCTCGGGATCCCTGTAATGATACATATGAGAGTCATTAAGGTAAGGAAATGTGTTGTCATTGTTCTAAAGCAATGGTGTCCAAAATGCGACCCGAGGGCCGGATGTGGCCCTTTTCTTGCCTTTGTCTTGCCCTCGAGGCACTATTACTTCCACTGATACAAACAATGGGGCACTATTACTTCTCCTACTGACCACATGCGTTATCTAATTTTTTAAATCCCACTGACAATCGAGTCTGAGACATTGTGGACCTCCATTGATGCTGGGGAATTTTCCACTCCCACTGGCCACAGTCTGGCCCTCCTAAAGTCTAAAGGACAGTAAAATGGCCCTTTGTTTACGAGGTTTGGAGACCCTGTTCTAAAGGGTTGAGTTTGTTTTATACATGTTTTCTTCCTAATATTCCTTACAGGGATGACTGCCAAGACTAAAAAACAGAGGGCAACTCCAGATGGATAAGAGTTGTGGGTAAGAGTTTGAAGGAACTTTGCTATTTTGAAATATTTGATTTTGTTAAGAGCAGATTATACTGAGGGTATGAGGCGCAATATTCCAAGCCATCAATCAAGCCTTTGCAGACTTTGCAGGCATTGGATTAGCCATTTTCACATGACATAGGATGAGGCATTGGACAAGACATTGCAGACACTGGATGAGCCATTGAAGCTATTGCAGCCATTGGTTATCCCATGGACAAATCTTTGGAAGAGCCATTTCAGACATTGGATGAGCCATTGGACAAGCTATTGCAGCCATTGGTTATCCCATGGACAAATCTTTGGATAAGCCATTGCAGACATTGGATGAGCCATTGGACAAGCCATACCAGACATTGCTTATCCCATGGAGAAATCTTTGGATAAGCCATTGCAGACATTGGATGAGCCATTGGATGAGCCATAGCAGACATTGCTTATCCCATGGAGAAATCTTTGGATAAGCCATTGCAGACATTGGATGAGCCATTGGACAAGCTATTTCAGCCATTGGTTATCCAATGGACAAATCTTTGGATAAGCCATTGCAGACATTGGATGAGCCTTTGGACAAGCCATTGCAGACATTGGTTATTCCATGGAGAAATTTTTGGATGAGCCATTGCAGACATTGGATGAGCCATTGGACAACCCATTGCAGACATTGGATGAGCCTTTGGACAAGCCATTGCAGACATTGGTTATTCCATGGAGAAATTTTTTGGATGAGCCATTGCAGACATTGGATGAGCCATTGGACAAGCTATTTCAGCCATTGGTTATCCAATGGACAAATCTTTGGATAAGCAATTGCAGACACTGGATGAGCCTTTGGACAAGCCATTGCAGACATTGGTTATTCCATGGAGAAATCTTTGGATGAGCCATTGCAAACATTGGATGAGCCATTGGACAACCCATTGCAGACATTGGATGAGCCATTGGACAACCCATTGCAGACAATGGTCATTCCATAGGCAAATCTTTGGATAAGCCTTTGTAGCCATTGGACAAGTCATTGTAGGAGCCATTGAAACAACTGGACATGCCATTAGGCAAGCAAAATCAGCATTTGAATTAGCAATTGCAGCAACTGGAAGAGCTCAGCCCAGCTTTGGTTCTTCAAAGGAAAACTCATCCTCGACCTTTCTTGTGAATAGTGAAATTGGGAGTTTTAATTTCTCATAAACTTTGTCAAAAAAGGAGATGTTCCAGCAAAATGCATTGGAGTCATAATTGTAAAATTAGGGTTGTTTTTAATTTCACCCCCATTAACTCCAATGCATTCCACCAAACTCGCAAAATTTTGCTAAAACTTCTAGATTTTTGTAAACTAGAAATGTTTTTTAATGCAATTTTGCATATCCTTAATGCTCCCAGCCTGGAGCCTCTTTTCCAAAGACGGACCACTACTACTCCAATAGATACCAGCACTTAATGCCGGCCCCGGCACCATGATCTACTGCTTTACCTTTAGACCATCTCAGAACTGTAATTATGCATAATGCAGCTCACGTAGTGAAAGAAACAACACCTCCTGCGCTCAGGGACCCAGATCAAGGGTGGATGGGTGGGAAGACCACTTGTGGAAGTAGTCCACCAATGGATCAAAGGTTGTGCAGATCTTAACAAGGCTGTGGAAGCCCGACCAGTACTGCAAAGTAAAACAAAAAGAAAGCGCACCAACCTAAATAAACTGTGGTTTTTGTTAGCTCTGAGGACGAAGGGACCCCCTTCGAAACACATCAGCGGAACTTTGAGAGTCTCCCCTCTTGATGTGACTCGCACTAGTTTTGCATTTCAATGTTCCTTGAGGCTCTTATACGCTTGTTTTACTTCTTTGTTTGTGAGTATATAGCTCATGTAGTGACAACAGTATGCACTTGTGGATCTATTTTTTTAGATTTTTCAGGGGGTTAACATAAAACAACTCAATTTTTGCTGTAACAATGTAACTAATGTGGACATAAACAAAGAGTGAGTATTTTTAAGTATCGACATCAGCAGGTCTTCAACTTCCTCCTGTTACTACTCTGAGTGTCTAGACAGGATGTGAGTTGCTCAAACCCAGCCACGGGGAAGATCACGACCACCCCGCCATGGTGTCCTGCAAACTGCACATGGCCTGAGACAAGAATGGCCTGCCGTGGGGATAAATATGTATTTCCTGCTAGAAGTTCTAGGATGAGACATGTGAATGCCTTCTGTTTTAGGAAGGCTTTACTGTGCTATGCACCGGCTGGGGGGCCTTTTGTTTCCTTTTGTTCCTTTTCACCATAATCTATATGGGTATACTGTCTTGTTGGGTCCAAAACTCTACTCCATGGTTTCCAAGCCCAGCACTGATGATGGTGATGGTTGAACGTTATAAAGGTAAAATCAGCCCCTTTGCTTGTGCAGCCCATAGGTACAGGTCTACCTAATCCGGCCCTCAGGGCATCTGTTGGAAACCACGGGGCCCTTTCGTCCCGCCAAAATTTGATGATTCCCTCCTCCTTCCTTGATTTTTTCAACCTCGTTGCCCTGTTTCCTCATTAATCCGTTATAATATGTCTCGAACCCCCCTACGGCATCCTAGGAGTCACATGCACTCCTCTATCCCCTTCCCAACCCTTCCCACCCCCCACTACTACTATACCCCACTTCCCCCCTTCCCCCTTAACGCTAGTTTTTCTTTTCTCTTTCCCTGGCACCCCCACATGATTTTGGGGAGAGCACCCCTGTAACCACATTGTACTATACCCAGGGGCGGACTGACAACTCATGGGGCCCCGGGGCAATAGGGGATCATGGGGCCCCTGTGTCCTTGCCCAAACTCAAAAAAGCCTATGAAAAAGGTACAAGGGGCATCTCATGGGGCCCCCTACTGACCCCGGGCCCTCAGGCAGTTTCCAAATGGTCAGTCCGCCCCTGACTATGCCTATATATGAGTAAATATGCCTACATACAACTATGTCTTCCTTCGATCATCCAAGCATTTTATATTTTGGTGCTTTTCTCCCCACCGTTATATGGACATCATACCTGTTTTCACAAATTTTTCTGTTCAAATGTCTATGGATTGTCCCATGCCTATGTTCCCAACCCTTGAAAACTAATAAAATGTTTGAACAAGAAACCACGAGGCCTCATACAGCCAACCTGACCCTTCAGAAAAATCCCAGTATACTATGCTTCAGTTATGAATGAACTCAGTGAGTGATAGGTGCCAATCACTCATTGTGTTCATTCGGGAAAGGAAGGGGCTGGTTAATGTGACATATTTATCAGACCCTTCCCCCACTCTACATTCTGAAGGATCCTATTGTATCCTTGCAGCTGCCGATGAGAAGGAGAGGAGGGAAGCCGGCACTGTGGGGGCCCAGGCAGCTGGGTGAATTGGATGTGGGCAGGGAGGGTGATGGTGGGGGGGGGGGGGTGTTACTGGAACCGATCCCCTATATGGCTCTCTCTGCCGCAGCTGAAAACTAGAGAGAGAGGAGAAGAACTCAGCTTTCGGATGCTGCAGAGAGAGCCGTAAAGGGGATTGGTTCCAGTAATTGCCCCCACACCACCGTTCCCATCACCCTCCCTACCCACATCCAATTCACCCAGCTGCCTGGGCCCCCACAGTGCTGGCTTCCCTCCTCTTTTTCTCACCGGCAGCTACAAGCACACAATAGGATCCTTCAGGATGGGGAGTGGGGGAAGCGTCTGATAAGTATGTCACATTAACCAGCCCCTTCCTTTTCCAAATGAACACAATGAGTGATTGAGGAGGACAGGTGGTACCCAGAGGCGGACTGACCATTTGGAAACTTGGGCACTGCCTGAGGGCCCGGGGTCAGTAAGGGGCCCCATGAGATGCCCCTAGTACCTTTTTCATAAGCTTTTTTGAGTTTGGGCAAGGACACAAGGGCCCCATGATCCCCTATTGCCCGGGGGCCCCATGAGTTATCAGTCCACCCCTGGAGGTACCCCCTTATCCACGGCCCTGCCGGCCCTCATGTCTTGAGTTCTGTAAGCTGTCTGGATGGGTGACTTACCTTTTTCTTTGTCTTTGGTGTATCTTTAAGTAGAAATGGCGCCAATGGGAAAAGCAAAAAAAAAGGACAAAAGAAGAAAGTAAATATGAGTTAGTTCAGCATAAACAGATCATCTTTTAAGGCCACCAATGAACAAAATCCATACCTTCGAAGCGGTTGATATCCGTCTCCTGCAGATCGGTCACCGCCGGGTTCTCTTTGCGGTGTTGTGGTCCAGGTCCGTCATACTTATATTGGTCCGATAACTTCCAACGGAGACCAAATCTGTGGAGAGACGAGAAAACATGGAAATACAAAAGGCTGCGGTTCCTCGGAATGCCAGTTTCCTGGCTATTAGGTTGGTCCACTGGCTTTGATACTTTCTGATTCTCTGTCCCGGGTGCGGAGTGAGCAGTTTGGGAATTTCAGAGGGGACTCTGGTAGCAATGAGGGGTACAGGAGCAGCATGGAGGACCCCAGCAAGTATTTAAAATGCTGCTTCAAAGCGGAACTAAACCTTCCTTTCCGTTTCAGCCAAGGAAGCTGCCATCTTAGCCTCTGTTCGATCTGCAGCTTCCATAGTGCTGGTTTGACAGTTTGGTTGATAGCACATACAAAAAGTGACAGTTGGCATTCCCAGCATAACGGGAATGTAACTGTTTTTTTTTAAACCGTTAAATTGATGGGTTTAATTCCACTTTAAAGTGCAACTGCCATTTTTTTTTAGGCTTGTGAATCAGCAGTGACATTTGTTGATAGCCCTGCCCCCTTCAACATTTATTTATTTAAGGTACTTATATAGCGTCGTCAATTTACGCAGCGCTTTACATATATATTGTACATTCACATCAGTCCCCGCCCCCGAGGAGCGCACAATCTAAGGTCTCTAACTTCATATACTAGGGCCAATTAAGGCAGGATCCAATTAACCTACCAGCAGTGGTGTCCCAAGGCAGGTTAAAGGAGTGCGCTCCGCACCAGGTGACACCGACCGCACGGGGTGACACCGGACCCGCTCCACAAAAAGGTAAGTTGTAAAGCAAGCCCACGATCCTGCAGGGATCGTCAGCATGCAACCTATACGGGGTGACACCGGACCCGCTCCAAGAAGAGGTAAGTTGTAAAGAAAGCCGACGCTCCCCGCAGGATGGATTGGATCTGCCAATTGGGCATAATGGCTCGAAGTCCGATCCATTATGCTCAATCCGCAGATCCGAACCATTCTGCGGGGATCGTCGAAGGGGGTGTGACCAAGTGTTACCGCATCAGGTGACACCAACCCTAGGGACGCCTCTGCCTACCAGCATGTCTTTGGAGTGGGGAAGGAAACCGGAGTACCTGAAGGAAACCCACGCAGGCACAGGGAGAACATGCAAACTCCAGGCAGGTGGTGCCGTGGTTGTGATTCTAACCAATGGCCTGAGTACTGCCAGGTGGAAGTGCTGACCATTTAGCCACTGTGCTGCCCAATGTTTTGGAGTGTATATACATCATCTTATCTCATTGTACATTATTATTTATACAGCATATATAGAGCGCCAACAGTGTGCTCAGCGCTTTACAATATAACGGGAGACAATACAGCAACAATTCAGTTCAATACAAGAGGGACAGGAGGGCCCTGATCCTTGGAGCTTACAATCTAAGAGGGAGGGGCTGGTGTTACAAAAGGTAGTAACTGTGGGGGATGGACTGGCAGGAGGAATAGAAGATTCCATTATTAGCTGAGGGCAGGATAGGCTTCCCTGAAGAGATAGGTTTTCAGAGATCACCTAAAAGTGAGCAGAGTAGGCGATAGTCATATAGATTGGGGTAGAGAGTTCCAGAGGATGGGGGAGGCTCTGGAGAAGTCCTGGAGATGAGCATGGGAGGAGACAAGGGAGATAGAGAGCAGGAGGTCATGTGAGGAGCTGAGAGGACAGTTTGGGTGATATTTGGAGACCAGATTGGTGATGTAATTGGGGGCGGAGTTATAAATGGTTTTATATGTTATTGTTAATGTTTTGAATTTTGTTTGTTGGCCAACGGGAAGCCAGTGGAGGGATTGGCAGAGAGGGGTGGAGGACACTGAATGGAGGACAGTGGATGGATTGGCAGAGAGGGGTGGAGAACACTGAATGGAGGCCAGTGGAGGGATTGGCAGAGAGAGGTGGAGGACACTGAATGGAGGCCAGTGGAGGGATTGGCAGAGAAGGGTGAAGGACACTGAATGGACTTTCTGTTCTGCTAACGAATGTTCCCTGGGGCAAAGGGATGTGTCTGATAAATATAGGGGGCAGTGGAGGGATTGACAGAGAGGGGTGGAGGACACTGAGTGGAGGTCAGTGGAGGGATTGGCAGAGAGGGGTGGAGGACACTGAGTGGAGGTCAGTGGAGGGATTGGCAGAGAGGGGTGGAGGACACTGACTGGAGGCCAGTGGAGGGATTGACAGAGAGGGGTGGAGGACACTGAGTGGAGGCCAGTGGAGTGACAACTCTGCTCTGGATTCAGGATCAGTGCAGTATGGTTGAAACCCTATCACAGAAAACTGCATTAGGTGGATTTTATCGGAAGGCTCAACAAGCCTGCTCTCTGTGGCCTCAAAGGGAAGATTTTCCCTCACTTTCTGTTCTGGTAACAATGCGTCCCGGGGCAGGAAGTGTTGGGTAAGTCTGATAGATTGGGGTAGAAAATTACAGAGGATGGGGGAGGCTCTGGAGAAGTCCTGGAGACGAGCATGGGAGGAGACAAGGGAGATAGAGAACAGGGGGTGGTGCGAGGAGCAGAGAGGACGGTTTGGGTGATATTTGGAGACCAGATTGGTGATGTAATTGGGGGCGGAGTTATAAATGGTTTTATATGTTATTGTTAATGTTTTGAATTTTGTTTGTTGGCCAACGGGAAGCCAGTGGAGGGATTGGTAGAGAGGGATGGAGGACAGTGGATGGATTGGCAGAGAGGGGTGGAGAACACTGAATGGAGGACAGTGGAGGGATTGGCAGAGAGGGGTGGAGAACACTGAATGGAGGCCAGTGGAGGGATTGGCAGAGAGGGGTGGAGGATACTGAATGGAGGCCAGTGGAGGGATTGGCAGAGAAGGGTGAAGGACACTGAATGGAGGCCAGTGGAGGGATTGGCAGAGAGGGGTGAAAGACACTGAATGGAGGCCAGTGGAGGGATTGGCAGAGAGGGGTGGAGGACACTGAATGGAGGCCAGTGGAGTGACAACTCTGGTCTGAATTCAGGATCAGTGCAGTATGGTTGAAACCCTATCACAGAAAACTGCATTAGGTGGATTTTATCGGAAGGTTCAACAAGCCTGCTCTCTGTGGCCTCAAAGAGAAGATGTTCCCTCACTTTCTGTTCTGGTAACAATGTGTCCTGGGGCAGGATGTGTCGGGTAATTTTCATAAAGGACATTGACTGCAATTAAAAAAAAACCTCTTTTTTAAAGTGATTTTAGGAAACACTAGAGCTCCAAACAGATGCTTTTTAAATTCAATGTTTTGTAATTCTGAGATACTTTACTACCATTCCATGACTAGGAAAATAAACATTCAAATCACATTTGTGCTGACATATTTGCATGGTTTTATTTGCCCCCCCCCTCCCCCCCCCCCCCCCCCCAGCCCAATGAATAATTTTTTATAAAGTCACCACAGATTTTGTGTACAAATGGTAACTTACCCGAATTCTTCCTCTTTCTCAGTCTGAGGAATAAGAACACGGCACAGACCACCAGGACGGCGGCACACACAGAGACCACGGCGGCGGTGACAGTGCTGCTCTTATTGTTGTTAGCACTAGAAATGGGCAAAAAAAAGATGTATTTAATAAAAAGTCACAAAATATAAGTGAACTTGTCTTACGAGCAACAAACTTTGAAAAAGGCACCTATTTACAGGACCTTGGAATCTGGTCTTCAAGCTTCGACTGGTAGTGTTGAAGGCCAACCCTTGGTCTTGTGCCCTTCTGTTGGCCCATCATTATGATGGGTGGCCTTACAGGTGTAGCTAGGGGTGTATTTACCACAAGGCAAACAAGGCATTTGCCTAGGGTGGCACGTTTCAGGGGGGCAGCGGTAGCTTTCACAGGAGCAGCAGCATTTTTCAAGGGGGCAGCACCGCCTCCCCAAAAGAAGGGATGGAAGAAGGGACACACGCAGCATGGGGACCTGAGAGAGGCTGCGGGCTGCTTTACGGTGTATGCAGAGTTGCAGGGACGGACTGACAACTCATGGGGCACCCGGGCAATAGGAAATCATGGGGCCCCTGTGCCCTTGCCCACACTCAAACCACACCCAAAAAAGCTTATGTAAGGGGCATCTCATTGGGCCCCCTGCTGACCCCGGGCCCTCGAGCAGTGCCCGAGTGGCTAAATGGTCAGTCCTCCCCTGAACCTGACTCTTGTCCTAAGCTGTGAAGGTGAATATCTTCTCTCCCGCAGGGGGTGTTGCCAGTGTATGGGGGGCGGTGGTAGTGGAATGCTCTCTCGGGTGGGGGGGCTGGGGTGTTGTTGGTCAATGTCAGGCTCTCTCCGTGGGGGAGGGGGGGTGTTGGTCAGTGGCAGGGTCTCTCCGTGGGGGGAGCCAAATTTTGTGTTGCCTAGGGCAGCATGAAACCTAAATACACCACTGGGTGTTGCACTCACTAGGTGGGGCTAGTGTAAGGTAAATTTATTTTTAACTCATGGTAGTGAGTGAGCCTGAATTACTGTGGGTTCAGTGTGAGGTCAGGCTGGATGACTCAGCAGGTTGGGACTCTATTGCCTCCACCTGGTTCTGGAGGTCCATGGACGTTTCCAGAAGCCAGTAGGTGGAAGGGTGGAGACCTCAATCTGCATATTCATTGGAATCCCAGGCTAAGAGGCCCTGGAATTGTGTTAGACTAGCCCATAAATATGAGAGAGCCATGCTAGCAGAGGAGTCGGGTGGAAGATGGAATGAGAGTAAGGCTGGAATGTGGATTTGGGGAGGGGGCCCCAGGGAGTGTTGCTGGATAGGAGGATCTCTACTGCCTCAACGTCTCCTGGGGAGGACAACCTGTTAGCAGGGAAGGAACCAGCCCAGCATAAGGCCTGAAGGCAGCCACCCACCACGCTAGCAAGCAAGGACAGTGTGAGTAGTCCTACACCCCTTGGGCTGGATAAGAGTAGAGGACAGTCAGGTGCAATACCCAACTAGTCTTCATCCGGGTCCACTTAACTGCAAGCTCATGGGACTCCCTTGCTCAGGGATACCCTCAGCACAGCTAAGTGAGGAGGAGGATTCATTTGAGAAGAAACATTATATTTTTTTCCTGCTAGTCCACAGTTTGTACATAGTTGTTAAGAAGTTGGTCCTCAAGTTCTACAGTTCCTTGGGTATCCCATATACTCTTAGACCCCATCCAAGTTGTTAACCCCTTAATAAAAACAACTAGAAAAACGGTTCAGGGACTATTTACTGACTCTGTAGTTACAAGTGTGGAAAATGCATGTTGCCTGGCTATGCAGAGCATAGGAGGACCCAAACAAATCCAGCAGACCTTACGAGGGTAGTGCTACACAGGCCAAACGTTAAATAAGAGCTTGTAGAGTAGCAAGATTGTTTTGCTGCCTGGGTCTTATCAAGGGGATTCCTTTTATTTCGTATCCTAGAGACACAATAGAAAGTAAGAGGATCTCTCTCCACATTCAGGGGATATCCCCTTTTTGTCACCAGAACAGGTTTATCCTCTATTTCCAATGGCAACTAAAAACTTTGGAATTTCCCATCAGTTTTGTTCTGACAAATAGCAAGGATCAGTCTTCCCAATGGGGACAGCAACAAAAACCCAACAGAGAAAAAGATGGCGACACTCCAACACATTCAATGCAGGTGTAGCTTTATTGTTCACTGAGTCTAGTTTTTAGATGAAATGCAGGAGAGAAGGTCCCAGGTGAGGTGTTTGCTTGTCTGGAATAAAAAAGTTGCACCCACATTGCATTTTAATGGAGTGTCACTGTCCTCTTCTCTTGGTTGAGGCATAGGACGAGCTCTGCTTGGCTTCTGGTACCCAGTCAGCCATCAGAGTGACCCAGTGTAATGTGCTTGTGAGTGGAGAACATAGTCCTTCAGCAAGAGAAAGCCCACAAGGGTTCCATCTCTCCGCAGTCTTTTCAAAATGGGAAAAACAAGTTTTAGCTTTACATACACTTTAATATTTACTATTGAATATAGTCTGGTCTGTGGATGGCCAATGGTGGCCATCGGTTTTCTCTCCGTTGCTTTAACTTGTGATTGAAGCATAAGCCCCAGAGGCTGGGCTGCAATGCACCAGAGAGAACCATGATGGTGGCTTCCGAAGGTGACAGTTTTGCCCAAAACAACTGATCAGTGGACATGAAGTTGCATCTGTGGTCACATTGAATTGGGCCACCAGCACCCCAACTGAACAAAAAAAAATTACTTTGATCCTAATCTCAAAATTTCGGCTTTGGCCAGGCAGCACCCATAATTTTAATAAAATGCTATTTTTTTCTACACTTTACTGCACCATAACTGATGTCTCTGCAGATGCATTCAGGACTAACCTGGAAGGAGTGACAACCACTTCCACCTTTCTTGAGTCTCCAGCAAAGTTTGCCCGTGAGTTGGTATTGGACACACCGCTGCTGGGTTCTGGGGAAAGGAAAGACATACATTCAGTCAACCACGACATAGCAATCCATGGTTCTCTCCAATCCTTGACAATAAAAATGGTTGTAGACATCAATGGACGGTTGGACGTATGACTACGGCGATCCAACACACAGAAGATGTCTCTTGGTCTGGCTCTGGGCATAAACATGAACATGTTCGTCACCCAGGCATGTGTGTTAATGAGACTCTTATGTATTTTTAGGCTTTGTAACGAACATTCCTCTCTTTGTCCCAGAACTCACCTACAACTATTAGGCGCGAGGTTATGCTCTCCACGTATCGGCTGCCATCTTTGACACCACACCAGTAGAATCCGCTGTCCTTCTGGGATGCAGACTTGATGGTGAGCACCAGCTCCTCGGTCTGGCAGGTGGCCAGCTGACTATCTTGAGTATCTTCCACGTTGCTCAAAGGTTTACACTGAAAGTTTTCCCATCTGCACCAATACTTCTGAGCGGTTTTGTACCTACAGGGATAGGAGCAGGTGATTTTGGCAGGATCACCGGCGGGCACTTGGACAAACGTGTTTCCAGACAGTCCTGGGAGATTTTCTGCAGAAAAATTCAGATTATATTACACACAATCCCTTTTTTGGTGTAATGATATCATAAAGTATAGAGTTCTAAATATTTTTTTTTTTATTTGTTTTAGGAAGAACTATTTTTTGCTGTGTCATAGATGGGACCATTTCCATTCATTTTCAGCCTTGGTGACACTCCAGGTTCTGCTTCAAGCTACACTTCCTGTGTCACCCAGTGCTGTGCCTTGAGTTGTGTCCCTTCACTTCCAGGCACAGTGACACCAAGGGGTCTCGTTAATCTGAACGTCCTCTATCCCTCACTTCTTGTCCTAATGACAACCAGTGATATGCCCTAAGTTGTACTTCCTGTGTCCCTTACTTCTTGTCCCATGACACCCAGTGCTTTTCCTTGAGTTGAACTTCCCATCTCAGTGACACCAACAGGTCTCTCTTAAGCTGAACCTTCTGTGTCCCTCACTTCTTGTTGTTTGACACCCAGTCCTGTTTCCCTTCACTTTCTGTTTCATTGACACCAAGGCATCTCTCTTGGACTGAATTTCCTGTATCCCTCATTCTTTGTTCTAATGGCACCTAATGCTATGCCTTGAGTTGGCCTTCCTGTGTCCCTTCACTTCCTGTCCTAGTGACACCAAGGGGTCTGCTTTGAGCTCAACTTCCTGTGTCATTTCCAGTCCCAGTGACCCCCCCCCCCCCCCCCCCAAGGGGAAATACTTGCCTCCTGATTTCTTTTTTCTTAAAAATTATCGCTAACCTGGAAAACACTGGTCAGGTGGCAATCCTATCTTTCTCTCCTCAATTGTCCCAGTGACACCCAAGGCTCTGCCATGAGCTGAACCCAATGTCTCTTATCCAGATGACCTCAGGGCTCTGCTATGAGCTAGACAGCCAGCTTACTTTCTGTCCCATTGACACCCAGGGCTGCACTATTAACGGAACTTCCAATGTCACCTTACGTCCTGTCCCATTGACACCTAGGGCTCTGATTTGACCTGAACTTCCAATGTCCCCTCCCCATCTGTCCTAGTGACACACTGGGCTCTGCTGTGAGCACCTCTCTGGATTCCATACATATCAACACTTCAGTCCTAGTCCCTGGGATTGTCACCCCCACACAATGCCCACACTTGATACACCAACTGTCCAGGCAGTCTTGCCCAAATTAAACCCACTTTCTGGACAGTCCCACCTCTAAACATGCCCACTAATATTTTTCTTTGAGCCACTGCTGTGATGGGAGTCACTTTGGGTGGGGGGCCCATGGAACCCAGCTCACTTTGGAAAGATGGTGAGACCCCTGTCTCAGCTCCCCATATCCATATTATGTGTAAGTCACCCTGTGCCTGTTAGGGGTACAGGGTGATCTGTCCTAATATTGTTTAAACATGTCCAGGAGATAGGTAGGGTGGGGGTTGTGGATTGTTTGGTGTTGTGTGGCTGCATCCCATTGTTCTATTGTGTGTCTGGCTTGGGAGCAAACTATTATGGGATGTATGTGTTTATGTTCATTAGCTTAGTGAGGGGATGTCTCCAGCAGCCCTCCCTCCTGATGGGACTGTCTGCTGGTGTGAAGTTTGAATACCTGTGTTTCTCTTGTTATTAAATGTAGATTCCCCCGCCCTGTGTTATTATGCAGGGAGGGGGGATTGTCCCCTGAGTGTATATATCTTGTATCTGTGTTCAGATAAATTAGTCTATCTTCTGGCTTACTTCAAGACTGGTGTCGTCTCGTCTTTTATGGTCGCCTGTGGTGTCTGTTGTCGGTGTTTGGACGGGGAAGCGGTAGTCTAATGGAAGTCCCCAAACGTAGTCTGGGGTCAGTTCCGTTACAACTGCCATGTTAGTAATGCAAATAAGGGTGATGCTGCGATCCCGGGACCACCATTTTTGGTACAGAGGACCGAAATGCAGAACTATCCCGGCAAATCCGGGACAGTTGGCATCTATGGAATTCTATTTTCTATATGTTCCTTTGGAGAATCCATTAAGGGCTAAAAAATAGGACAGGGAAGAGAAGTAGAAAGTTTAACTCCCAGCAATCCCTCTTGTCTCCAGGACAGTGAGTGAAGAAGAATCTACTCAAAGAAAACAGAGACAGCAATTCAAGAAATAAACGACCGAGCATCAAACCTTTCCCCAATCTGAAGCTTAACAATGAAAACTTTGCCGAAGGTTTGTGGTACCTCCTCACCTTTTGAAATCTTGACCTGTATGGTAGATGTTTGGTCATGTTTTTTCCCGGTCAGGACACACCAGTACCAGCCTTCGTCCTTGTTGGAGATGTTAGTCATGAGGACCTGCATCAAGCCGCTCGTAGAATTGTCATCGATGAGTACTCTCCCCTCGTAAGCGCTCATCATGGACCCGTCGGTTTTTATGATTGGATTGCAGACTCCGTCTTGCAGTTTGCAGAAGAATTTCTCTGTGTAATTCTTTTTGGGGTTGTAAATGCACTGAGCGGACAGAGACCCTCCCAGCCTGGGGGTCAGTAGATGAGGTCCCTGAAGAATATCCGTCTCTGCAGAAAATACGCAACAAGTCAGAATTTACTTCAATACATGAAGGGCGTTATTCCAGGACAAATCAGGCTTTTCAAAAGATTTCAGGAGCTTAGTGGAATGGGTACTTGTACTAGCTGCGTGAAAAACACATGATATGATATCAATACAAAGCCGGATTCAATTTTGATGTTCTACATCTACCTGGAGGTCAACTTTAATGTTGTCACACCTTATATTAAAGGGGAACTCCAGGTGAACAGCTAAATACAGCATTAGACTACATCCCTGGGATGGTTTCTGCTTTCTGAAGGACATGTCATGTGGTCCAGTCATGTGGTCCAGCCATTCTGAGATTCACGCAGTCCATGCAGATGGCAGTCGGAGTGGTGACCCGACTTTTTCTCACTGCAATTAAAGCGCACGTTAGCTTTCAGGAAGATTTTCCAAAAATCCACCTATGCAATTTTATATCCTATGAATAGAACATACCAGCACTCCCCCTATTGTAAATGTTACACGTGCTCCCATTAAAAATCTAGCTATTTAAGGGCCTCTCACCCCCTCTGTCCTGCCCTTTGTACCACAGGCTGAACATTATAGTAATGCGCCCCCTCATGGCTGTTGGGCTGTTCAAACTGTCCATGGTCCCCTTCTCTAGCTGAGCTTAACTAGAAGAGGCCGTGCACTGTGAACGTGCGTACATTAGCTCTCTCCTTCTCTAGCTGAGCTTAGATACAGAAGGTCATGCACTGTGCACGTGCACACATTTGCTCTCTCCTTCTCTAGCTGAGCTTAGCTAGAGGCCCTGCACTGTGCACAATCATGCATGTGCTCTCCTTTTCTAGCTGAGCTTTGCTAGAAGAGGCCCTGCACTGTGCATGTGCATGCATGTGCTCTCTCCTCCTCTAGCTGACTGTAGATAGAGGAGGCCCTGCACTGTGTACATGCCTGCATTTGCACTCTCCTTCTCTAGGTGAGCTTAGCTAGAGGAGGCCATGCACTGTGCACATGTATGCATGTGCTTTCTCCTTCTCTAGCTGAGCTTAGCTAGAGGAGGCTGTGAACGTGCACACATTTGCTCTCTCCTTCTCCAGCTGAGCTTAGCTAGAGGAAGCCCTTCAGTGTGCACATTCATGCCTTTTTCTTTCTCCTTCTCTAGCTGAGCTTAGCTAGAGGAGGCCCTACACTGTGCACAAGCAAGCATGAACTCTCTCCTTTTCTAGCTGAGCTTTGCTAGAAGAGGCCCTGCACTGTGCATGTGCATGCATGTGCTCTCTCCTCTAGCTGACTGTAGATAGAGGAGGCCCTGCACTGTGCACATGCCTGCATTTGCACTCTCCTTCTCTAGCTGAGCTTAGCTAGAGGAGGCCATGCACTGTGCACATGCATGCATATGCTTTCTCCTTTTCTAGCTGAGCTTAGCTAGAGGAGGCTGTGCACGTGCACACATTTGCTCTCTCCTTCTCTAGCTGAGCTTAGCTAGAGGAGGCCCTTCACTGTGCACATGCCTGCATTTGCACTCTCCTTTTCTAGCTGAGCTTAGCTAGAGGAGGCCATGCACTGTGCACATGCATGCATATGCTTTCTCCTTCTCTAGCTGAGCTTAGCTAGAGGAGGCTGTGCACGTGCACACATTTGCTCTCTCCTTCTCTAACTGAGCTTAGCTAGAGGAGGCCCTGCACTGTGCACATGCCTGCATTTGCGCTCTCCTTCTCTAGGTGAGCTTAACTAGAGGAGGCCATGCACTGTGCACATGCATGCATATACTTTCTCCTTTTCTAGCTGAGCTTAGCTAGAGGAGGCTGTGAACGTGCACGCATTTGCTCTCTCCTTCTCCAGCTGAGCTTAGCTAGAGGAAGCCCTTCAGTGTGCACATTCATGCCTTTTTCTTTCTCCTTCTCTAGCTGAGCTTAGCTAGAGGAGGCCCTACACTGTGCACATGCATGCACTCTCTCCTTTTCTAGCTGAGCTTTGCTAGAAGAGGCCCTGCACTGTGCACTGTGCATGCATGTGCTCTCTCCTCCTCTAGCTGACTGTAGATAGAGGAGGCCCTGCACTGTGCACATGCCTGCATTTGCACTCTCCTTCTCTAGGTGAGCTTAGCTGAGGAGGCCCTGCACTGTGCACATGCATGCATGTGCTTTCTCCTTCTCTAGCTGAGCTTAGCTAGAGGAGGTCCTGCACTGTGCACATGCATGCATGTGCTTTCCCCTTCTCTAGCTGAGCTTAGCTAGAGGAGGCTGTGCACATGCACACATTTGCACTCTCCTTCTCTAGGTGAGCTTAGCTAGAGGAGGTCCTGCACTGTGAACGTGCACGCATTTGCTCTCTCCTTCTCCAGCTGAGCTTAGCTAGAGGAAGCCCTTCAGTGTGCACATTCATGCCTCTTTCTTTCTCCTTCTCTAGCTGAGCTTTGCTAGAAGAGGCCCTGCACTGTGCACTGTGCATGCATGTGCTCTCTCCTTTGAATGGTCCAAAGCTGCCACTACTGAGCACAGCTGGTGCAGGAAGAGTGTTCGTGTTCAGTGTGAATGGCCCAGAACGACACTAGAGGGTGCATTATTTTAGTGTCTATCAAGTCCTTCAAATACAGGGGGGTGAGGGCCGGGCAATATTTTGGAGAGGCCCCCCCCCCTTCAACAACAGCTGCATCTGTACTGGCTGTACTGGACCATTTACAACAGGAAGATATCTGGTATGTACAATCCATAGGATACGGACTGAATTGGGGGATTTTGGGAAAATCATCCTGAAAGTGAACTTCTACGACTTACCCCAGGGGGCGAAACCTCTTACACTTGCCTGATAGAAGTGCAGCATCTTCATACTATTCCCGAAGGTGAACTTACAAATTGAGCAATACTTAAAACCCCCCAGCCTGTGATTGGACCGCAAAGGAGAAACAGAATACTGATTAGCTATCCCTCTGCTCTCTCCTCCTGCCAGCATTCCTTGTCAGGATGCACATATCTGATTGACTTCTATTGCTGCTCTCCCCGTTTGAGTGATGCTGTACAGGGGATTACCAGAGGCTAATACCAATACAGATTCAGGTTCTTTCACTAGCTGTACGTTTCATCATTCTTTCATGGATACATAATTGCATTCATTGTGTACTTTTATACTTTACTTTGAGATTTCATTCTATGAAATGCAGGTCCAGGGGCGGACTGACCATTCGGGCACTCGGGTCCGGGGTCAGTAGGGGGCAGGGGCGGACTGACCATTCGGGCACTCGGGTCCGGGGTCAGTAGGGGGCAGGGGCGGACTGACCATTCGGGCACTAGGGCACTGCCCGAGGATCCAGGGTCAGTAAGGGGCCCCATGAGATGCCCCTAGTACTTTTCCTAGGCTTTTTTGGGTGTGGTTTTGAGTGTGGGTGAGGACACAGGGGCCCCATTATCCCCTATTGCCCGGGGGCCCCATGAGTTGTCAGTCCGCCCCTGGTAGGGGGCCCCATGAGATGCCCCTGGTACCTTTCATAGGTTTTATTGGGTGTGGTTTGAGTGTGGGCAAGGACACAGGGGCCCCATGATCCCTTATTGCCCGGGGGCCCCATGAGTTGTTAGTCCGCCCCTGGTAGGGGGCCCCATGAGATGCCCCTGGTACCTTTCATAGGCTTTTATTGGGTGTGGTTTGAGTGTGGGCGAGGACACAGGGGCCCCATGATCCCTTATTGCCCGGGGGCCCCATGAGTTGTTAGTCCGCCCCTGGTAGGGGGCCCCATGAGATGCCCCTGGTACCTTTCATAGGCTTTTATTGGGTGTGGTTTGAGTGTGGGCGAGGACACAGGGGCCCCATGATCCTTTATTGCCCGGGGGCCCCATGAGTTGTTAGTCCGCCCCTGGTAGGGGGCCCCATGAGATGCCCCTGGTACCTTTCATAGGTTTTATTGGGTGTGGTTTGAGTGTGGGCAAGGACACAGGGGCCCCATGATCCTTTATTGCCCGGGGGCCCCATGAGTTGTTAGTCCGCCCCTGGTAGGGGGCCCCATGAGATGCCCCTGGTACCTTTCATAGGCTTTTATTGGGTGTGGTTTGAGTGTGGGCGAGGACACAGGGGCCCCATGATCCCTTATTGCCCAGGGGCCCCATGAGTTGTCAGTCCGCCCCTGTGCAGGTCACAGTTTTCTTACCTTCGTTGATCCTTAAATCATAATTCGGCAAATCTTTGGATTCTTCGGGGTCGTCAGAGCCACACGTATAGTACGCCGCGTCTAGATTGCGCACCTGCACCATTTTTACCGTGAACGTTCCCGCCTTCATCTCAGCCGTAACTCTCCCCTCGTAGCTGGGGTCAGTCCTCCCCGTGCTGTCGATGATGTCCAGGCAGCCATTTTTGTTGACCTTGCACAGATATTTCCTCTGCCCGGCGACCTGCTCATTATAATTACACTTGAAGATCACGGCGCCCCTCAGCTGGGCATAGAGAAGTTCGGCTTCCTCGGGGATCTTGGTATCTGTTGTAGAAATTGTGGAGAAAAAGCTCAGAATGGTTCCCTTCAACGGCTGCTGGGGGCCAAAAAACTCCAATGCACGTCGCTGGACAATGGCTGGACAAGGTAGGTGCATCTGCACAGAGCGGCGTTTTAATGTATTTTATTCTGTATTTTAGTCTTTAAAATGTACAAAATCTGGAGGCCCCCCCAGTCTAAAATGTAAAGGAATAATGGCAGCCGACCTTGATAAAATTAACTTCACACCAGAAGCCCCCATCACATCAGAGGTCCCCCCCCCTTCATGGCAGATTTGTCCCATCACATCAGAGGTACCCCAATACATTAGAAGCCTCCCTCATATAAGAACCCCCCCCCCATCACATCAAAATCTACCAATCACTACAGAGTTTTCTCATCCCGTGAAAGTCCCCCCCCAAAGAAGGGCTCCCCCAATAAAAGACTACTCCCATCACACCAGAGTTCCCCCAATACATTAGAAGTCTCCCTCATATAATAACCCCCCCATCACATCAAAGTCTACCCATCATTACAGATTCTTCTCATACCGTGAGAGTCCCCCCCCCCCCAAAGGAGGGCTTCCCCAAAGCTGCTACACCTGTACTGAAGGGAAGGAGTCGGTACACCTGTGCAAGCCTGAAGGGGAGGAAGCCGCTACACCTGTGCAAGACTGAAGGGGAGGAGCCGGGACACACCTGTGCTAGACTGAAGGGGAGGAGCCGGTACTCCTGTGCAAGACTGAAGGGGAGGAGCCGGTACACCTGTGTAAGCCTGAAGGGGAGGAGCCGCTACACCTGTGCAAGACTGAAGGGGAGGAGCCGACACACCTGTGCAAGACTGAAGGAGAGGAGCCGGTACTCCGGTGCAAGACTGAAGGGGAGGAGCCGCTACACCTGTGCAAGACTGAAGGGGAGGAGCCGGGACACACCTGTGCTAGACTGAAGGGGAGGAGCCGGTACTCCTGTGCAAGACTGAAGGGGAGGAGCCGGTACACCTGTGTAAGCCTGAAGGGGAGGAGCCGCTACACCTGTGTAAGACTGAAGGGGAGGAGCCGACACACCTGTGCAAGACTGAAGGAGAGGAGCCGGTACTCCGGTGCAAGACTGAAGGGGAGGAGCCGATACTCCTGTGCTAGACTGAAGGGGAGGAGCCGGTACTCCTGTGCAAGACTGGAGGGGAGGAGTCAGTACACCTGTGCTAGACTGAAGGGGAGGAGCCGGTACACCTGTGCTAGACTGAAGGGGAGAAGCCGGTACACCTGTGCAAGATTGAAGGGGAGGAGCCGGAACACCTGTGCAAGACTGAAGAGGAGGAGCCGGTACACCTGTGCAAGACTGAAGGGGAGGAGCCGGTACACCTATAAAAGACTGAAGGGGAGGAGCCGGAACACCTGTGCAAGACTGAAGGGGAGGAGCCGGTACACCTGTGCTAGACTGAAGGGGAGGAGCCGGTACTCCTGTGCAAGACTGAAGGGGAGGAGCCGGTACACCTGTGTAAGCCTGAAGGGGAGGAGCCACTACACCTGTGCAAGACTGAAGGGGAGGAGCCGACACACCTGTGCTAGACTGAAGGGGAGGAGCCGGTACTCCTGTGCTAGACTAAAGGGGAGGAGCCGGTACTCCTGTGCAAGACTGGAGGGGAGGAGCCAGTACACATGTGCTAGACTGAAGGGGAGGAGCCGGTACACCTGTGCTAGACTGAAGGGGAGGAGCCGGTACACCTGTGCAAGACTGAGGGGGAGGAACTGGTACACTTGTAAAAGACTGAAGGGGAGGAGCCGATACACCTGTGCAAGACTGAAAGGGAGGAGCCGGTACACCTGTGCAAGACTGAAAAGGAGGAGCCGCTACACCTGTGCAAGACTGAAGGGGAGGAGCCGGTACACCTATGCAAGATTGAAGGGGAGGAGCCGGTACACCTGTGCAAGATTGAAGGGGAGGAGCCGGTACACCTGTGCCAGACTGGAGGGAGGAGCCAATACACCTGTGCAAGACTGAAGGGGAGGAGCCGGTACACCTGTGCAAGATTGAAGGGGAGGAGCCGATACACCTGTGCAAGACTGAAGGGGAGGAGCCGGAACACCTGTGCAAGACTGAAGAGGAGGATCCGGTACACCTGTGCAAGACTGAAGGGGAGGAGCCGGTACACCTATAAAAGACTGAAGGGGAGGAGCCGGAACACCTGTGCAAGACTGAAGGGGAGGAGCCGGTATGCCTGTGCAAGACTGAAGGGGAGGAGCCGATACATCTGTGCAAGACTGAAGGGGAGGGGCCGGAACACCTGTGCAAGACTGAAGGGGAGGAGCCGGAACACCTGTGCAAGACTGAAGGGGAGGAGCCGGTACACGTGTGCAAGATTGAAGGGGAGCAGCCGGTACACGTGTGCAAGATTGAAGGAGAGCAGCCGGTACACGTGTGCAAGACTGAAGGGGAGGCCGGAGGGAGGATTTAACATCTTAAAGATTATACAAGATTTCAGCGGTGTCCCCATTAGAGGATTTCCCTTCACTTCCTGTCCTGGTGACAACTCTAAAATGTTGGATTTCCCCAAACAGGGACCTGATAGGGGGTCTAATCCTATATGCAGTTCAATACTAAAAAAAAACCCAAATGTCTATTTTCATGGAATGGGGGTGTGAGGGGTGCGGTCTGCCTCTGACGTTACAATTACCTTCAACAACGGACAGACTAAGAACTCCTTTGATCCCGTTGTCATTCTGCCCGATGCCGCAGATATAAGTGCCTTCGTCTTCCTTCTGTAACCCATCGATAGTGACGGTAAAAAAGCTTTTCTCTTTGGAGTCGGTCAGTGTGATCCTCCCATGGAAGTTGGGGGACGAGTAACCGCTGTCAGAGACGATCGTCTGCTTGCACCACCCGGGGCGGGCGCCTTCCAGGCAGCAGAATTTGCGGCTGTATTTGTTGGCATTGGGAATAGGGGAGTAAAAACATTGGAAGCTGATCTCCTCGTACTCTGTCCCCGTCACCCGCCTCGGACAAGCGATTTCATCCGACTCTGCGTGGAAAACAGAAAATAACGATCGATCTGTCAGCAAAAATGTGCAACTTATTTTTCTAAAGGCCAACTGGACTTTCACTTTAAATAAGCAGGTGGGTCAAAGCAAAAGGTGGCTCAGCAGGGGGCATGTCAGACCTCTGCAGAGAGACCACTGCTTCTATATACAGAACAAGGGGTCCTTCTCTGCAGCATGCTGGCGGGGACAGGCTTTTATCCTCAGGCTGTGGCTGTCCAACCAGCAAAGCTCAGGTTTCCTTCTGATTGGAGAGCTCTAACTCAGCAGGGGGCATGTAAGACCTCTACAAAGAGACCGCTGCTTCCACATACAGAGCAAGGGGTCCTTCTCTGCAGCATGCTGGCAGGGGACAGGCTTTTCTGCTCAGGCTGTGGCTGTCCAACCAGCAAAGCTCAGGTTCCCTTCTGATTGGAGAGCTCTAACTCAGCAGGGGGCATGTAAGACCTCTACAAAGAGACCGCTGCTTCCACATACAGAGCAAGGGGTCCTTCTCTGCAGCATGCTGGCAGGGGACAGGCTTTTCTGCTCAGGCTGTGGCTGTCCAACCAGCAAATCTCAGGTTTCCTTCTGATTGGAGAGCTCTAACTCTGACACAGCACGGGGCATGTCAGACCTCTGCAAAGAGACCACTGCTTCTATATACAGAGCAAGGGGTCCTTCTCTGCAGCATGCTGGCGGGGGACAGGCTTTTCTCCTCAGGCTGTGGCTGTCCAACCAGCAAAGCTCAGGTTTTCCTTCTGATTGGAGAGCTCTAACTCAGCACGGGGCATGTCAGACCTCTGCAAAGAGACCACTGCTTCTATATATACAGAGCAAGGGGTCCTTCTCTGCAGCATGCTGGCAGGGGACAGGCTTTCTCTCCTCAGGCTGTGGCTGTCCAACCAGCAAAGCTCAGGTTCCCTTCTGATTGGAGAGCTCTAACTCAGCACGGGGCATGTCAGACCTCTGCAAAGAGACCACTGCTTCTATATACAGAGCAAGGGGTCCTTCTCTGCAGCATGATGGCAGGGGACAGGCTTTTCTCCTCAGGCTGTGGCTACAGAGTCAGACCTATAACTTTCCATCCAGCAAAGCTTGTGCTTCCTTCTGATTGGAGAGCTCCGTCTCTGACTCAGCAGGGGGCATGTCAGACCTTTGCAGAGAGACCCCTGCTTCCACATACAGATAAAGGGGCATTTTTCTGCAGCATGCTGGCACAGCGTAGGCTTTTCTACTCAGGCTTTGGCTTCTGAGTCAGACCCATAACGTTCCAACCAGAAAAACTCATTCTCCCTTCTGGTTGGAAAACTCTAGTTCTGACCCAGCAGGGGGCATGTCAGACCTCTGCAGAGAGACCGCTGCTTCCACACTTGGAGAGCAGAGGTCTTTCCATGCAACATACTGGCAGGGGACAGGCTTTTTTACTCAGGATGTGGATGTTGAGTCAGAGCCGGGGCTTACCATCAAAGCTCATCTCCCCTTAAAGCGCTCTAACTCTGACTCAGCCATGTCAAACCTCTGCAGAGAGACCACTGCTTCCACATGGAGAGCAGAGGTCTTTCTCTGCAACATGCTGGCAAGGGACAGGCTTTTTTTTTTTCTTTTCAGGATGGGGCTGCTGAGTCAGAGCTAGAACTCTCCAATCAGCAAAACTCAAGTTACCTCTGACTCTGCAAGGGGCATGTCAAACCTCTGCAGAGAGACCACTGCTTCCACATGGAGAGCAGAGGTCTTTCTCTGCAACATGCTGGCAAGGGACAGGCTTTTTCTTTTCAGGCTGGGGCTGCTGAGTCAGAGCAATAACTCTCCAATCAGCAAAACTCATGCTGCCTTCTACCTCTACTCTGCAAGGGGAATGTCAGACCTCTTCAGAGAGACCACTGCTTCCACATGGAGAGCAGAGGTCTTTCTCTGCAGCATGCTGGCATGGGACAGGCTTTTCTACCCAGGCTGTGGCTGCCGATTCAGACCTATAACTCTCCAATCAGCAAAGCTCATGCTGCCTTCTGATTTGGGAGCTTCAGCTCTGACTTAGGGGGAATGTCAGACCTCTCTGCAGAGCAGAGGTCTTTCTCTGCAGCATGCTGGCATGGGACAGGCTTTTCTACTCAGACATAGAATGCCATTTGCTTTGTTGCACCTGTAATATATTTAGCTCATTTAAACTGAGTTCACTTGAGGTTTAAGCAACCAGTGTTTGAACATTCGCATCAATTCACAAAAGCCCCGAGGGAGTTATTGGGAGCCAGCATCCTGTCATCAATTCAGCTGTCATATGCTGGCGCGGGCACAGATGATGGGAGTCGGCGTCCTGTCCTCGATTCAGAACAATGGAGGTAAGAGATACAGATGCCGCATCAAACTCCCCCACGTGAATGGCAGTGTTGGCCTCAGCTGCTGCTCCAGCCACACCCTCCGATGCGTTTCACCAGAGAGTGGAGCAGCAGCTAAGGCCAACACTGCCGTTCACATGGGGGAGGTTGAGGCGCCAGCAGAGGGGGGCGCTAAAGCCGGGGGGTCCCTCAAGAAGTGCTTATGCTGGCGCTGGCCCTGCTCACACCTTTACCTAGCTCAACACAGCAGTGCATGGTGACAGGCAGCACAGTCCTGGGCACGGTGAACCTCAGAGCTGCCTCCACACTAACATCCATCTGCTATCCTGGCCAAGACCGAAACTACTGTGCCCCGGGCGCCAAATTAAGAGGGGTGCCAATGGCCCCTGGTGTCAAACTGAGAGGGATGCCAACGGCCCCTGGTGTCAAACTTAGAGGGACGCCAACGGCCCCTGGTGTCAAATTGAGAGGGGTGCCAACAGCCCCTGGTGTCAAACTGAGAGGGACGCCAACGGCCCCTGGTGTCAAATTGAGAGGGGTGCCACCGGGCCCCTGGTGTCAGATTGAGAGGGACGCCAATGGACCCTGGTGTCAGATGAGAGGGATGCCAACGGCCCCAGGCGCCAAATTGAGAGGGGCACCAACAGCACCTGGTGTCAAACTGAGGGGAATGCCAATGGCCCCTGGTGTCAGATTGAGAGGGAGGCGCCAACGACCCCTGGTGTCAAATTGAGAGTGGGGTGTCAACGGCCCCTGGTGTCAGATTGAGAGTGGGGTGTCAACAGCCCCTGGTGTCAGATTGAGAGGGGGGTGTCAACGGCCCCTGGTGTCAAATTGAGAGGGGGTGTCAACGGCCCCTGGTGTCAAATTGAGAGTGGGGTGTCAACGGCTCCTGGTGTCAATTGAGAGTGGGGTGTCAACGGCCCCTGGTGTCAGATTGAGAGTGGGGTGTCAACGGCCCCGGATGCCAAATTGAGAGGGGGGTGCCAACAGCCCCTGGTGTCAAATTGAGAGGGGGGTGCCAACAGCCCCTGGTGTCAAATTGAGAGGGGCGCCAAAGGCCGCTGCAAGCCTCTTCATATATTCATGAACTGAGGTTTCATTTTAAAATAGAGCAAAATCTGTCCAGTCCTGAAATTTGTACAGCTCTGCCACACAGCACAGCCCTGTCTGGCAGGGCAGGAGACCTGATTCTTCTCTACTGCAGTTCAGTAACACTTACAGGTCTTGCCCTTCCCTGGGACTGGGCAGTGATAGGTGAAGCAGCAGACTGTTAAGTTCATCTCTACGACACTCTGCTCTCTTCTCCTCACAGCATGCTCCTGCTTAGGACATGACATTGCAGCACAACTGATTGGCTCCCAGTGCTGCTTTTTCCTCTTCCAGCCTAAGCTCTGCTGTATGGGGACTTCGAAAGGCAGAGAACAAGACAAATTCAGGTACTTTTGCTGATTGGTTAGAAAATGCCACATTGTATAAATGATTACAGAGCTGCATTAATTATTAAATGAAACAAAAAATCTGTAATTGAGTTTTGTGTTAATGAAAACCTTTGATCGTTGGACCTTCTCTTTGGCTCTGCTTATTGAATTTCAGCAACGACTGCTGACCCGGGACAGTCACTGCCATTGTCCTGCATTCTCGGCATTTACTTTTATTTTCGTTTCCAGTTAAGGTCGGGCAGAGGACAATCCTGGCAGTATTTGTGGATACGTATCCGGAAAATGAAGCTTTTAGGGTCTTCAGCAGGGGGCGCTATACAGAAAAGAAACTCTGAGTGCCGTTGGCTGGCAACTGCTTCTCAGTAAATGTTCCCCCATTGAGAGTCAGCAGCCGACACTTTGCATGGCCGCTAGCTCTGTCACTGACAGCTCAGATCCCCACTGACTATCAGGACCTGTTTATCGATGTCCCAAATGAAATAAGTCTTAACCAGGGGTGGACTGAAAACTCATGGGGCCCCCGGACAATAGGGGATCATGGGGCCCCTGTGTCCTCACTCACACTCAAACCACACCCAAAAAAGTCTATGAAAGGTACCAGGGACATCTCATGGGGCCCCCTACTGACCCCAGGCCCTCGGGCAGTGCCAGAGTACCCAAATGGTCAGTCTGCCCCTGGTCTTAACCCATTTCTTTGGGTTGAGTCGAGGAGTCCATACCTTTTAGGGAGTTTTCCCAGAATCTTGCATCCTTTGCAAAGGGGATGCAAGCGGTCCCAGGAGACCTTGCTCTATCCTCTCCTGCCTCCCTTCCTGGGGGTAAGCTCCAAGAGATAGAGCCTCGCAGCCTACATCTTTGCTGCAGCTTGATCCTTCAGACACTTCCAATGATGGAGGACATACTCCCAATCAGGGGCGAACTGACCATTTGGAATCGCGGGCACTGCCCGAGGGCCCGGGGTCAGTAGGGGGCCCCATGAGATGCCCCGGTAACTTTTTCATAGGCTTTTTTGAGTTTGGGCAAGGACACAGGGGCCCCATGATCCCCTATCCCCAGGGTCAGTAGGGGGCCCCATGAGATGCCCCGGTAACTTTTTCATAGGCTTTTTTGAGTTTGGGCAAGGACACAGGGGCCCCCTGATCCCCTATTGCCCGGGGGCCCCATGAGTTGTCAGTCCGCCACTGCTCCCAATAGACTGGCATTGGCAGGGCTGGCATTACCAATCTATGGCCACACCTCACCTTCCTTATACTCTTAGGGCCTCTAGCAGCTTCCTAGGATGCTACACTACCTCCACACTGCAAGATGGCCCTAGTCTACCCTCAAGGCCAACCATGGTGACACTTAATGGTCCAACTGGGGAACTACACCAGGTATTCCTGTACCCCTATCCTACAGTAGCACATTCCTCTAGACTTGTTCTTTAATGTTAAAGAAATGTTGTGCCCAGGGGTGGACTGACAACTCATGGGGCCCCCGAGCAATAGGGGATCATGGGGCCCTTGTGTCCTCGCCCAAACTCAAAAAAGCCTATGAAAAAGGTACCAGGGGCATCTCATGGGGCCCCCTACTGACCCCGGGCCCTCAGGCAGTGCCCGAGTTTCCAAATGGTCAGTCCGCCCCTGGTTGTGCCTTATGAAAGTAGCTAATTCAGTTCTAAATAGCTCTGGAAGCCGACTGTCACTGACAGCTCAGATCCTCACTGACTATCAGGAAGTGTTTATTGATGTCCCAAATGAAATACACCTTAACCCATTTCTTTGGGTTGAGTCAAGGAGCCCATACTTTTTAGGGAGTTTTCCCAGAATCTTGCATCCTATGCAAAGGGGATGCAAGTGGTCCCAGGAGACCTTCCTCTATCCTCTCCTGCCTCCCTTCCTGGGGGTAAGCTCCAAGAGATAGAGCCTCACAGCCTACATCTTTGCTGTAGCTTGATCCTTCAGGTGGGCATACTCTCAAAAGACTGGCATTGGCAGGGCTGGCATTACCAATCTATGGCCACACCTCACCTTCCTTATACTCTGAGGGCCTCTAGCAGCTTCCTAGGATGCTACACTACCTCCACAATGCAAGATGGCCCTTGTCTACCCTCAAGGCCAACCATGGTGACACTTAATGGTCCAACTGGGGAGCTACACCAGGTATTCCTGTAACCCTACCCTACAGTAGCACATTCCTTTAGACTTGTTCTTTGATGTTATAGAAATGTTGTGCCTTATGAAAGTAGCTAATTCAGTTCGAAATTGGTTCAGGAACATACTCTATCATTTATAGCCATGTGGGTACCTTTCTCCATTCACTATGTGTCAGAGGCTGATGTTGATTGCCTACAAACATGATAAGAGGCTTGAACCAGGGGTGGACTGACCGTTTGGAAACTCGGGCACTACCCGAGGGCGGCCCGGGGTCAGTAGGGGGCCCCTGGTACCTTTCATAGGCTTTTTTGGGTGTGGTTTGAGTGTGGGTGAGGACACAGGGGGCCCCATGATCCCCTATTGCCCAGGGCCCCATGAGTTGTTAGTCCGCCCCTGGCTTGAACAGTTGTGAACACATTAACATTGGAGTACAGAGTGATTTCGCAAACTTGTCATGATCTTAAACAATGAATGTCTGCCCAATAAAGTGTCCATTGATCGTATATTTAGAATGGCACGAGGTGCCCTCACGTTCTTCCAGTAACAGTGCCAACAATAACCTTCCTCTTGCCAGTTTGTGGAAATATTTTTGAGACGGAAATTGTGGGTTACATCAACAGTACACCCATCACTCATGACACTTCCTAATGACATTTATTTCAGGCAACTCACCAGCTCCGGGGATCAATAAAATGCAAATGAACCCAAACAAAAACACTGCGTTATTCATGGCGCGCCAGAAGAACGACCTGGACTTGGTTCTCTGTTTTTCAACTTCTTATTAAATCTGTAAAAAACAATGAGAAGATTAATAAACTAAGAGGAAATTAGTATATGAAGAAACTTTGAGCACGGAGGAGGAACTGACACACTTGGCCAGGCATACCATGCCATATATGTACACTATATTGCCAAAAGTATTGGAAGATCCCTCCAAATCATGTGATTCAGGTGCTCCAATCCCCTCCATGGACACAGGTGTATACAATCAAGCCCCTAGGCATGCAGACGGCTTCTACAAACATTGGTGAAAGAATGGGTCGCTCTCAGGAGCTCAGTGACTCCAAGCGTGGTCCCGTGATAGGTGGTCACCTGGGCAATAAGTCCATCCGTCATTTCCTGGCTACTAAATATTCCACGCTCAACTGTTAGTGGGATTATAACAAAGTGGAAGCAACTGGGAACAACAGCCACTCAGCCACCAAGTGGTAGGCCACGTCACATGACAGGGCGGGGTCAGCGCATGCTGAAGCGCACAGTGCGCAGAAGTCGCCAACTGTCTGCAGAGTCAATAGCTAAAGACCTCCAAACTTGGTGTGGCCTTCAGATGAGCCCAAAAACAGTGCGTAGAGACCTTCATGGAATGGGTTTCCATGGCCGAGCAGCTGCATCCAAGCCTTCCATCACCAAGTGCAATGCAAAGCGTCGGATGCCGTGGTGTAAAGCACGCCGCCACTGGACTCTAGAGCAGTGGAGACGTGTTCTCTGGAGGGACCAATCACGCTTCTCTGTCTGGCAATCCGATGGACGTGTCTGGGTTTGGAGGTGGCCAGGAGAAGGGTACTTGCCTGTCTGCATTGTGTCCAGTGCAGTGTAAAGTTTGGTGCAGGGGGGATTATGGTGTGGGGGTGTTTTTCAGGGGTTGGGGTTGGGCTTAAGCTTGGCCCCTTCTACATTTTGGACAATTTCATGCTCCCAACTTTGTGGGAAGAGTTTGGGGATGGCCCCTTCCTGTTCCAACATGACTGCGCACCAGTGCACAAAGCAAGGTCCATAAAGACATGGAGGAGCCAGTTTGGGGTGGAGGAACTTGACTGTCCTGCACAGAGTCCTGACCTCAACCCCACAGAACACCTTTGGGATGAATTAGAGCGGAGACTGCGAGCCAGGCCTCCTCCCCCGACATCAGTGCCTGACCTGACAAATGTGCTTCTGGAAGAATGGTCCAACCTTCCCATAGACACCCTCCTAAACCTTGTGGATGGCCTTCCCAGAAGAGTTGAAGCTGTTACAGCTGCAAAGGGCGGGGCCAACTCAATATTGAACCCTATGGACTAAGACTGGGAAGCCATTAAAGGTCATGTGCGTGGAAAGGGCGGGGCCAACTCAATATTGAACCCTACGGACTAAGACTGGGAAGCCATTAAAGGTCATGTGCGTGGAAAGGGCGGGGCCAACTCAATATTGAACCCTACGGACTAAGACTGGGAAGCCATTAAAGGTCATGTGGGTGGAAAGGCCGGCAGCCCAATACTTTTGGCAATATAGTGTAGAATAACGCAGAAGGGAGGCGACACTTCCAAAATTAGAGAACATTCACCATAACTGGCCCTGATTGGTCAAGCTGCAATAGAATTTAAGGAACATTAAAGTGTGCCTCAGACATTCTAAAGCTGCCTTTCAACCAAAGTAGGACATTAAACCATGGGTTAGGACCTTGAACTATGGAAGTCGTGCCCCAGAAAAAAACAAGCAAAGGACAAAGGGATAGCTACTTTTATTTGATGTGGGGTGCAGTTAACAGAACGTTTTCCCCATACATTGTTCACAACTGTATCTGTTTGGAGGCAGCCATCTTTGTAGAGCAGGGAATTGCCTCCTCATTTCAGAGCTGCTTCCCTGATGGCTGGGGAGCTAAAGACTGTTGGAGTAATGATGATAGAGCAGAAGGGTTGGATGAAGCAGGGAGATCCTTGCATTGCAGGTCCTCAGACACAGCTACCTCTCCAGCAAGGAGAACAATGAGCAGAACAGTAGAAACATCACGAAAACTCACTCTCCAAATCTGGTGAAACAAGCAGTCAGAAGCAACAGTGCCTTAGGTGATCTTAAACAGCTATGAGGATACAGGAGTGCCTAGGCACAGGAAGTGCCCTCCTTGCTTTTAGGAGTATTTCATGATAAAGGTGGGACACAGCTTAGACTCAGTTAACATTTCTAGATGTTCTCTTGAGTATTTACTTTTTGAGTTCAGGTCAAGTTTAGGTGATACTTCAGCTTGATAAATCAAATCCATTATCTGTTAGTATCAGGAATCCCGAGTTCTGTGAGATTCTTGCCTCGTGAAGACCATTGATGACAAGAACACGGTGTAGAGAGATGCTGGAGGATGATAAATGGTTGCCAAAAACGTGGAACGTTGGATTACAGATGCCATGAAGGACTCTTGTGTAATTTATTAATGCAACTAAGTCTTTAAAATAACTAAGAATGTTCAGTCACAGCTAGCGTAAGTGCCAAAATCTGTTTTTATATGAGCATCAACAAGCTGGGAGAGCAAGGAGCATGATTAGGAGGCCGCCATGTAAGCTGCATGCTAACAGGTAACATGAGAAGAATGAGCAGGACAACAACCTTGTTAGTCTTCTGCTGCTCCTCCAATGTCCTGACTTGCTCCATGGGCTGACAGGAGCTGAAAGCAGAGTGGGCAGAGCCAATCACTTATCAGAGGGAGGAATCAGTGGGAGGTCATAGTGCCCCATCATTGGTGTCAGTGGGAGGAGTGGGAGGAATAGTGCCCCATCATTGGTGTCAGTGGGAGGAATAGTGCCCCATCATTGGTGTCAGTGGGAGGAATAGTGCCCCATCATTGGTGTCAGTGGGAGGAATAGTGCCCCATCATTGGTGTCAGTGGGAGGAATAGTGCCCCATCATTGGTGTCAGTGGGAGGTCAATAGTGCCCCATCATTGGTGTCAGTGGGAGGAATAGTGCCCCATCATTGGTGTCAGTGGGAGGAATAGTGCCCCATCATTGGTATCAGTGGGAGGAATAGTAGTGTATCCCCATCATTGGTGTCAGTGGGAGGAATAGTGCCCCATCATTGGGTCAGTGGGGAGGAATAGTGCCCATCATGGTATCAGTGGAGGCCCCATCATTGGTGTCAGTGGGAGGAATAGTGCCCCATCATTGGTGTCAGTGGGAGGAATAGTGAATAGTGCCCCATCATTGGTGTCCCCATCATTGGTGTCAGTGGGAGGAATAGTGCCCCATCATTGGTGTCAGTGGGAGGAATAGTGCCCCATCATCATTGGTGTCATTGGTGGGAGGAATAGTGCCCCATCATTGGTGTCAGTGGGAGGAATAGTGCCCCATCATTGGTATCAGTCAGGGAGGAATAGTGCCCCATCATTGGTATCAGTGGGAGGAATAGTGCCCCATCATTGGTATCAGTGGAAGGAATAGTGCCCCATCATTGGTGTCAGTGGGAGGAATAGTGCCCCATCATTGGTGTCAGTGGGAGGAATAGTGCCCCATCATTGGTGTCAGTGGGAGGAATAGTGCCCCATCATTGGTGTCAGTGGGAGGAATAGTGCCCCATCATTGGTGTCAGTGGGAGGAATAGTGCCCCATCATTGGTATCAGTGGGAGGAATAGTGCCCCATCATTGTGTGTCAGTGGGAGGAATAGTGCCCCATCATTGGTGTCAGTGGGAGGAATAGTGCCCCATCATTGGTGTCAGTGGGAGGAATAGTGCCCCATCATTGGTGTCAGTGGGAGGAATAGTGTCCCATCATTGGGTCAGTGGGGAATAGTGCCCCATCATTGGTATCAGTGGGAGGAATAGTGCCCCATCATTGGTGTCAGTGGGGATGAATTGGTGTAGTGTCCCATCATTGGTGTCAGTGGGAGGAATAGTGCCCCATCATTAGTGGGAGGAATCAGTGGGAGGAGGAATAGTGCCCCATCATTGGTGTCAGTGGGAGGAATAGTGCCCCCCCCCATATATTGGTGTCAGTGGGAGGAATCAGCGCCCCATCATTGGTATCATTGGTGTCAGTGGGAGGAATAGCGCCCCATCATTAGGTGTCAGTGGGATGAATAGTGCCCCATCATTGGTGTCAGTGGGAGGAATAGCGCCCCATCATTGGTGTCAGTGGGAGGAATAGTGCCCCCCATCATTGGTGTCAGTGGGAGGAATAGAATAGTGCGCCCCATCATTGGTGTCAGTGGGAGGAAGAATAGGCCCCATCATTGGTGTCAGTAGAATGCCCCATCATTGGTGTCAGTGGGAGTGAAGGAATAGCGCCCCATCATTGGTGTCAGTGGGAGGAATAGAATGTCAGTGGGAGGAATAGCGCCCCATCATTGGTGTCAGTGGGAGAGGAATAGTGCCCCATCATTGGTGTCAGTGGGAGGAATAGCGCCCCATCATTGGGAGTGGGAATAGCGCCCCATCATTGGTGTCAGTGAGAGGAATAGCGCCCCATCATTGGTGTCAGTGGGAGGAATAGTGCCCCATAATATTGGTGTCAGTGGGAGCAATAGTGCCCCATCATTGGTGTCAGTGGGAGGAATAGTGCCCCATAATTGGTGTCAGTGGGAGGAATAGCGCCCCATAATTGGTGTCAGTGGGAGGAATAGTGCCCCATAATTGGTGTCAGTGGGAGGAATAGTGCCCCATAATTGGTGTCAGTGGGAGGAATAGCGTCCCATCATTGGTATCAGTGGGAGAGGAATAGCGCCCCATCATTGGTGTCAGTGGGAGAGGAATAGTGCCCCATCATTGGTGTCAGTGGGGGAGGAATAGCGCCCCATAATTGGTGTCAGTGGGAGGAATAGCCCCCCATAATTGGTGTCAGTGGGAGCAATAGTGCCCCATATCAGCCATATCAGTAGGGGAGAAAATGCCCCAAGGGCCGGATAAAGGAAAGCAAAGGGCCACAGTTTGGAGATCACTTCTTTAGACGCTCAGCTTATCGCCTCCTTTTGTCAATTAATTTGCTGAGCGATCGAACTGATCGAAGTGATTTCTGGGGAATCAGGCAATAGAACTTTAATCATGAAGCGATGGCGCAGATAAACGGAGTTCGCCAGCCAAATATTTACTCCCGGAAACATCTGAAGGATTAATTGAGTCTTTTATATAAGAATGCAGAGCTGTGCCAAGAGAACAAAGCAAATACAAGAGGAAAGGTGTCTCTGGCGGGTATTTCCCTGGAACATTCGACTTCCTCGTATAATGCCGGGTCTGAATATATCATCTCAGAGGCGACATCGGCCTCAGCAACAAGCGAAGCACGACAGAAATAATAGAACACGTCTCCTTCATCCCGCTGCCTTCACGGAACATTTATCAGACGTTTAGTTTAATATCTCATGAACAGCAAACACACAGCGAGCATCATCACGTAAGGTGTCACTACACTAAACCCGCAACAGTACAATCAGTGTGTAGACGCAGGAAAGCATGCTTGTTATACTCACTGTGGAAGCTAAGGGGTTAATCCTCTGCATTGTGTAAAAAGGCTGTTTGATCCTGTCTTCTCTGATCCTCCCCTTCTTCCAGTGCCCCCCTCTTATCTCCTGATAAGACATATCGTGTGGAGTCCCTCTGTACATGCTCAGTTTGGTGTGTATTGCTAGAGAGGGTTTTTTTTTTTTTTTTCTTGGGAAGGGTGATCAACACAGAGCCAATCAGTGCTGTCCAGACGGAGGGTCAGGGGTTCTGCATCTTTCTCTTTTCTGAAAGAAAACTCCTCCTACAAGCTTTAACCAGTGCTCTGCTGGACACTGATAGAAGTCACAAGACTGCTATGTACTGCTGATGAGACAAGGTTCTGTGTACTGTGCGAGAGTGGATATAGTGAGTGCGGGGTACGGGGGAGAGAGGATATAGTGAATGCGGGGTCCGGGGAGAGCGGATATAGTGAGTGCGGGGTCCGGGGAGAGCGGATATAGTGAATGCGGGGTCCGGGGAGAGCGGATATAGTGAGTGCGGGGTCCGGGGAGAGCAAATATAGTGAGTGCGGGGTCCGGGGAGAGCGGATATAGTGAGTGCGGGGTCCGGGGAGAGCGGATATAGTGAGTGCGGGGTCCGGGGAGAGCGGATATAGTGAATGCGGGGTCCGGGGAGAGCGGATATAGTGAATGCTGGGTCCGGGGAGAGCGGATATAGTGAACGCGGGGTCCGGGGAGAGCGGATATAGTGAATGCGGGGTCCGGGGAGAGCGGATATTGTGAATGCGGGTCCGGGGAGAGCGGATATAGTGAACGCGGGGTCCGGGGAGAGCGGATATAGTGAACGCGGGGTCCGGGGAGAGCGGATATAGTGAACACGGGGTCCGGGGAGAGCAAATATAGTGAACGCGGGGTCCGGGGAGAGCGGATATAGTGAACGCGGGGTCCGGGGAGAGCGGATATAGTGAACGCGGGGTCCGGGGAGAGCGGATATAGTGAACGCGGGGTCCGGGGAGAGCGGATATAGTGAATGCGGGGTCCGGGGAGAGCGGATATAGTGAATGCGGGGTCCGGGAGAGCGGATATAGTGAATGCCGGGTCCGGGGGAGCGGATATAGTGAATGCGGGGTCCGGGGGGAGCGGATATAGTGAATGCGGTGTCCGGGGAGAGCGGATATAGTGAATGCGGGGTCCGGGGAGAGCGGATATAGTGAATGCGGGGTCCGGGGAGAGCGGATATAGTGAATGCGGGGTCCGGGGAGAGCGGATATAGTGAATGCGGGGTCCGGGGAGAGCGGATATAGTGAATGCGGGGTCCGGGGAGAGCGGATATAGTGAATGCGGGGTCCGGGGAGAGCGGATATAGTGACGCAGGGTCCGGGGAGAGCGGATATAGTAAACGCGGGGGGGGAGCGGATATAGTGAATGCCGGGGTCCGGGGGAGCAGATATAGTGAATGTGGGGTCCAGGGAGAGCGGATATAGTGAATCCCGGGTCCGGGGGAGCAGATATAGTGAATGCAGGGTCCGGGGAGAGCGGATATAGTGAATGCGGGGTCCGGGGAGAGCGGATATAGTGAATGCGGGGTCCAGGGGAGCGGATATAGTGAATGCGGGTCCGGGGAGAGCGGATATAGTGAATGTGGGGTCCGGGGAGAGCGGATATAGTGAATGCGGGGTCCGGGGAGAGCGGATATAGTGAATGCGGGGTCCGGGAGAGCGGATATAGTGAATGCTGGATCCGGGGAGAGTGGAATATAGTGGATCCGGGGAGAGCGGATATAGTGGATACAGGGTCTGGGGAAAGGGATATAATGAATGCGGGGTCCGCGGTGGTGCGTATACGGTCTGGGAGGGGTGGTGCGAATGCTGTGGTCACGCACCGGGGGGCGTATTGGGTACGTTCCCTGGGTGCCAGAGAATAGGTTAAAAGAGTGTTGGTTGACAGAGCATAGGTCGATATAGCATCAGTTGAAAACCTATCAGTTGCTAGGGCATCAGTTGATGGACCCGTTGATGGCCTTCAGTTGATGGACTGTTGATTGATGGAGAGTAGGAAGAAAGAAAGACAGCAGGGAGCTAAGAATGTGGAGAAAGAATAGATAGAAGGAGAAAGAGACCTGAATGGGAAGGATGGAACGTTGGTTGATGAAGCATCAGTTGATGGAGCAACAATGGATATGGAATTGGTTATTGGAATGTGGGTTGCCAGAGCATAGGTTAATGGAGTGTTGCTTGACAGAGCATAGGTTGGTAGAGCTTCAGTTGATGTCAGATCAGTTGCTGGAGCATCAGTTGATGGACTGTCGATTGATAGAGAGTAGGAGAAAAGAAAAACAGCAGTGAGCTAAGAATGAGGATAAAGAAATAGATAGAAGGAGAAAGAGACCAGAATGGGAAGGAAGGAGCATTGGTTGATGGAGCGTTGCTTGATGGAGGGTTGGTTGATGGAGCATCATTTAATTGGAGCTTCAGTTGATGAAGCATCAGTTGATGGAGCAACACTGGATGTAGAATTGGTTTTTGGAATGTGGGTTGCCAGAGCAAAGGCTAAGGGAGCGTTGGTTGACAGAGCACAGTTTGGTAGAGCTTCAGTTGATGTCAGATCAGTTACTGGAGCATCAGTTGATGGACCTGTAGATGGCCTTCTGTTGATGGACTTGTTGATGGCCTTCAGTTGATGGACCGTCGATTGTTAGAGAGTAAGAGAAAATAAAAACAGCAGTGAGCTAAGAATGAGGATAAAGAAATAGATAGAAGGAGAAAGAGACCAGAATGGGAAGGAAGGAGCATTGGTTGATGGAGCGTTGCTTGATGGAGGGTTGGTTGATGGAGCATCATTTAATTGGAGCTTCAGTTGATGAAGCATCAGTTGATGGAGCAACACTGGATGTAGAATTGGTTTTTGGAATGTGGGTTGCCTGAGCAAAGGCTAAGGGAGCGTTGGTTGACAGAGCACAGTTTGGTAGAGCTTCAGTTGATGTCAGATCAGTTACTGGAGCATCAGTTGATGGACCTGTAGATGGCCTTCTGTTGATGGACTTGTTGATGGCCTTCAGTTGATGGACCGTCGATTGTTAGAGAGTAAGAGAAAATAAAAACAGCAGGGAGCTAAGAATGAGGATAAAGAAATAGATAGAAGGAGAAAGAGACCAGAATGGGAAGAATGGAGCATTGGTTGATGGAGGGTTGGTTGATGGAGCATCATTTAATTGGAGCTTCAGTTGATGAAGCATCAGTTCATGGAGCAACACTGGATGTAGAATTGGTTTTTGGAATGTGGGTTACCAGATCATAGGTTAAGGGAGTGTTGGTTGACAGAGCATAGGTTGGTAGAGCTTCAGTTGATGTCAGATAAGTTACTGGAGCATCAGTTGATGGACCTATCGATGGCCTTCAGTTGATGGACTTGTTGATGGCCTTCAGTTGATGGACTTGTTGTTGGCCTTCAGTTGATGGACTGTCGATTGTTAGCGAGTAAGAGAAAGGAACACCAGCAGTGAGTTAAGGACAAGGAGAAAGGGACACAGAGAAGGAGAAAGAGACCGAAATGGGAAGGATGGAGCATTAACTGATGAAGCTTGGGCCTATGGAGCATCAGTTGGTGGAATGTTTGCTGATAGATCATCAGTTGATGGGATTGCTGGTTGTTGGAAGGTCAGTTGATAGAGCATCCCATGATGAAGAGCTGGTTGTAGTAGCATCATTTGGAAGAAGCAGCATACTCCTAGGTGCTGTAAAGAAGCAGCATACCCCTAGGTGCTGTAGAGAAGCGGTGGATCCAAGTGGCACCAAGCAGGACAAGTATTTTGGGTAAGACCTCGTGGAATGTTTTAATAATCCCAGCCAGTGTTTAAAATAAATAAGCAGCTCTGGCTACAATACCCTCCTTCTCTTCTGCACTGTCCCCTGCAGTACCTCCTTTCTACCACAAGATGCCTTCAGTCTTCAGGGGTGATTGACAACCAGCAAGGACTGTGAGTGCAGTGCGTCATGGACCTGCCCCCTTCAGAGAGTGGTGCTGAAGTCGTTACATCAGCGCTGTTCTCTGATCCCCCACATGCCACGGAATGGGTGTATCCACCCTATTCTTTTCCCCCCAGCTGTGCTGCGCCCAGGACCGCTGCTGCCCCTCCTGCCCCCGGGCCCTGTGCTTCCCACATGCCAGGATGCCAATGACTTCTCCCTGTAAATTTTACACGTTGGAAATATTGTGGTTTCTCCTTTAAGGTCACCGTTGTCATCTCCTCAGCCCCAACCTTTGAAGCGAGGCCACCAATCTAGCCAATCTTGTTTACCAGGATGGCCGGGAAGAAAATTTGCATTGGCACGGTCTGGTTCCTGGTTACATTGTGACTTTTGGACCATGGTGATATAGAGCCGCCAAGAGGGTTGAAGTAAACATCTTTATGGCTTGTCCCGTGATTGCAACATAATCCTTAAAATCAATATTCTGGTTATCTGGAAAAAAACGAGGGGGGTGGGGGCGGGATCAACTTCCTGCGATCTGATTGGTCGGGTAAGGGATATGCAGCCAGGTGTGAAAATGAGTTGTTTGTGTATTAAGAGACACATGTTGATCTCCCTTTTTCGAAAATTCTCTTTGCTTGGCCTTGTCTATCCACAATACTTTCTGAGCTCGCGACCTTCGATGAATATACAGCAAGTGCATGGAGAACTCGTGGTCGGCTCCATGTGTCCCAGAGCTCGGGGTCCCCGAGAGTCATAGAGCCCGTTCACACCGGAGGAAGTAGGGCTGGATTGTGAGAGGAAGAAACAGCACAAGGAGCCAATCCCTGTGCTGCTTCTCCTTTCACTGTCCAGTAACAGGCTGGGGGGGGGGGCTCAATGTGACCTGGGCTCAGAGAAAGTAGTTTCAATTTCTGAGGACATCTAGTGACATAAAATAAATACGCGGGGGGGGGGGGGGTATCAATGGATTGAAGGTGAAGGTTCTGCAGCAAAAGCTGATTCTGTTATTTTATCTTTAAATGGGTTATTCATTCATGGGTCAGAGACTGCAGACATAATACAGGAGCTGGTCAGAGACTGCAGACATGATACAGGAGATGGTCAGAGACTGCAGACATGATACAGGAGATGGTCAGAGACTGCAGACATAATACAGGAGCTGGTCAGAGACTGCAGACATGATACAGGAGCTGGTCAGAGACTGCAGACATGATACAGGAGATGGTAAGAGACTGCAGACATAATACAGGAGCTGGTCAGAGACTGCAGACATGGTACAGAGCTGGTCAGAGACTGCAGACATGATACAGGAGATGGTCAGAGACTGCAGACATGATACAGGAGATGGTCAGAGACTGCAGACATGATACAGGAGCTGGTCAGAGACTGCAGACATGGTACAGGAGCTGGTCAGAGACAGATTTGCTGACATGATACAGGAGTGGTCCAGAGACTGCAGACATTAATACAGGAGATGGTCAGAGACTGCAGACATGATACAGGAGATGACCAGAGACTGCAGACATAATACAGGAGCTGGTCAGAGACTGCAGACATGGTACAGGAGCTGGTCAGAGACTGCAGACATGATACAGGAGCTGGTCAGAGACTGCAGACCCCATGGTACAGGAGATGGTCAGAGACTGCAGACATTCTTACAGGAGATGGTCAGAGACTACAGACATAATACAGGAGATGGTCAGAGACTGCAGACATTCTTACAGGAGATGGTCAGAGACTTCAGACATAATACAGGAGATGGTCAGAGACTGCAGACATGTACAGGAGATGGTCTTCCCACTTCAGACATAATACAGGAGATGGTCAGAGACCCCCAGACATGATACAGGAGATGGTCAGAGACTGACCAGACATGTACAGGAGATGGTCAGAGACTGCAGGGACATCTTACAAGAGATGGTCAGGGACTGCAGACATGATACAAGAGATGGTCAGAGACTGCAAACATAATGCAGGGAGATGGTCAGAGAATGCAGACATAGTACAGGAGATTGGTCAGGGACTGCAGACATAGTACAGGAGATGGTCAGAGATTGCAGACATAGTACAGGAGATGGTCAGAGACTGTAGATATGATATAGGAGATGGTCACTGACTGCAGAATAATACAGGAGATGGTCAGAGACTGCAGACATGATACAAGACATGGTCAGAGACTGCAAACATAATGCAGGAGATGGTCAGAGATTCCCAGACATCCAATGTACAGGAGATGGTCAGAGA